CATGGGATTTCTTCCTTCAAAGTGACAGACCACCAAAGTAACCTTTTGAACAGAATCCTCCACGTTCTGACTCCCTCCTGCCCCCCACAAGGTAGTCTCACTTTATAGCCCAGGATGGCCTCTAACTCATTATGTAGCCTAGGCTGGCATCAAAAACTCATGGCAATTTTCCTGCCAGAACCTGTCAAGTGCTGGGATTACAGATGTGAGTCACCATGACATGGCTCTTGTTAAGAGCAGGTCAAAAGACCCTTGTCCCATGACAGTGATCAGTCAGACTGGCTCAGCCCTGTCTCCTGGGACTGGGAGACTTCAGACCTCTTGGAATGTGAACTTTCAATCAATCTCAGAAAGCTGGGAGAATTCTGGAGAGATGGATCAGTGATTGAGTTTTTAATGTTCTTCCAGAGGATAGGAGTTTGGTTCCCAGCATGCACATGGGATGGGTCACAACTGCCTGTACCTGCAGCTCCAGGGGACCCAATGTCCTCTTCTGGCCCCCGCAGGCACCTGCACACATATGTACATACACACACAGACACACACAAACACACACACATTAAATCTCAAAGTAGTTATTCTGGTATCAAAAGCCAAGCCAGCATGTTCCTGGATGTGCTTAGACTGAACACACACACATACATACATACACACACACACACACATACACACACACACACACACACACACGAGGGAAGAATGGCAGGGGAACTAGGAAGCATATAAAATCTCTGGCTAGGCTAGAGCGGAGTTCCCTAAGGAACTCTTTGAGATCATTTAATGTGGGCTCTCCATGGAGCAAACTGTAGGTTAGGTTAGAATCTCACTACAGGTACTAGCTGCCTAACTTGAGACATAATTTAATCTTTTGACCTTAGTTTTCTCATGTGCAAATTGGAATCAAGACAGCATCATGGAACTGCAGAGATGGCTCAGTGGTTAAGAGCACTGGCTGCTCTTGCAGAGGACCGGGTGTGGTTCTCAGCACCCACATGGCAGCTAACAAACTCTAGTTCCAGGGGATCTGACACTCTCTTCTGACCTCCAGAGGCATTTCATGCATGTGGTACACCTACATACATGCAGCCAAAGCATTCATACATATAAAATAAAAATAAATCAATCAAAAAGAATTTTTTTTTATTTGGCTTTTTGAGACAGGGTCTCCTTGTAGCCCCCAGCTGTCCTGGAACTCACTGTGTAGACCAGGCTGGCCTCATATTCACAAAGATCCCACCTTCCTCTGCCTCCAGATGCTGGGATTAAAGGCATGTGCCACGATGCCTTTAATCCCTAAATAATAAATATTTTATTTATTATTTTTATTTTATGTGTATGAGCATATTACGTGCATGTATGTAAGTACACCATATTGTACAGTGAGATGCTGGGATTAAAGGCATGTGCCACCATGCCTTTAATCCCTAAATAATAAATATTTTATTTATTATTTTTATTTTATGTGTATGAGCATATTACGTGCATGTATGTAAGTACACCATATTGTACAGTGCCCACAGAGGTCAGAAGAAGGTGTCAGATCCCCTGGGACTCGGATTGAGGACAGTTGTTGGCCACCATGTAGATGCTGGGAACTGAACCCAGGTCCTTTGCAAGAGCAGCCAATACTCTTAACCACTGAGCCATAACCCCAGCCTCTATCCTTGAATACTTTTATCTTTTTTCTTGGATAGGACCATATTGCACACAAATCATTTCATCCAAGAAGGCTAGCCATTATCACTTTTCTGAAAATTGAGTGCTAACTGAACAGCAGAGGGATTTTTTTTTTTAAAAGAAAAGTCAAAATAAAAATATACATTGGATATGTTGGTGCATGCCTAAAATTCCAGCACTTAGGAGCTGGAGATGGAAGAATCAGCCTAGAGTTCAAGGCCAGCCTGGGCTATAAGACTCTGTCTCAAATATATACATGTGTGTGTGTCTCTGTGTGTGTATAAATGCATATATATATATGTATAAAGTCTTGGTTAAGGTTTTTCATATCTAGAAAAAGGATGCACTGGTATAGATAGATATATCGCCAAGATTAAATAGGAAAGCAAAGTGTAGACTAGTATAAGTAGACTAGGAGACTATTATGCTAAGCATTAGCAATGAAAGGAAGGGAACACAACAGTCACTTGAGCGTACATAGTCTCTGGAGGACAAAATTAATGCCATTGGCTGTGAATGAAAGGAAAGCTGGGTGACTATGTACAGCAAAAAGACTTGTTAAAATGTTGATGCATTCACTTTGAGGTGATTGACATGTATAGTATTATCAAAAGTTTAACTTAAAGAATCAGTGATACAGATTCACATTTCAATAACCATTTGAACTAAGGGTCGTGTGTGTTTCAAAAAGATTCTTCACAGTTTGGAAGTCTTTCAAGATTCAAATTCTGAAAATCTAAATGTATATAAAAGCAGCCTTTAATCAAATGCCTGGGACTATGTTGTTTTGCTGTGTAAATATAACAGTTTAAATTTTTGATAGACAGAAATTGGGCTGTTTCTTATGTTTATTAAGAATGAAAGTGTTTTGGACATATTTGTCTCCTAGTGAATATAGGCACATGTGTGTCTTGAGAATATGGGAGGGATTGCTTGTGTTTGAGTGTGTAACACCATCCCTTCAACATATCCCTACTGATAGCACACATAAGCCCCTACATAGCACACATTCCCCATGGAAACACTGGCCTAAATGATCTCTTTCAGCTCTGAAATTCACAGTGGAAAAGACTTGAGCCCAAATGTTCCAATGTTTTCATAAAAATTTCTTAGATTTTACTATGAATGTTGCCTTTAATGCAGAGCTTTCAGTGAACAGTGTTTCAGAAACAGTGTTTTAGAGCTCAAACTTGTATTTTGTTTAGATCATATTGGGATTTTTTTTTTCTTTTCTAATATTTTTGGTCTTTTGGAGAAAGGGTCTCCATGTAGCCCCAGCTGGCCTGGCAACTCACTATGTAGATCAGGCTGGCCTCGATCTCACCTGCCTTTCCCTCCCAAGTGCTGGGACTAAAGGCCTGTGCCACCACACCTGGCTAAGGAATTTTTCTCTTTCTAATGTCCTTTGATTACTAGTGAGGTCAAAATTCTAATATTCTCAAGACACACATGTGCCTATATTCACTAGGAGACCCTTTAATGAGGCTGCAAGCAAAAATAGACAAATGCTACCTGGGGGATCCAAAGAAATGTCAAATCTCCAGGCAGGTTACTTTGATTCCCAGTTCACAAGGATTTTTGAAGGGGAAGGCTACGTGAACCTGAATCAAGTGAGGAGACGGCATATGATGTTGGAAGCCAAAAAGAATCTAGGCAAAGCCTTCATCCCTAGTAGTGGTGAGAAAAAGCCGTGAGTATTTGAGGGAAAATGTCTTACATAGATTTGCACCTTTCTCTAGCCTGAACTCAATGTTTTTCTGTATGACTTAATTTTTAAATATGGTTATCTTTAATGGAGACAATTTGGGGGGGTATTGCAAACTCACAGGTAATTTAAAATATTTTATCATATTAAATAAATTCTTGATTACCTATGTTACTGTTCTCTTTGTGTAATGAAAGCCAACTAAATAATGAAAAAAATTGTCAAAAACCTTTAAAGAGTCAAGATGGAGGTAAATGCCTTGGGTTACCATGTCTATGCCTTTGATTACGTTTTTCTGCTTAAGTTATAAATAATATGAAATTATAAATAATATGAAACTCTTTTCAGGCAAAAGATAGTTTATCTTTACTATATTATTTTAAAATCATTGTGAAGATATGCTCTTGGAGCATGCCAGTATTTTAATTATGGCAGTTCTCAATGTGAAAGTAAAGTGTTTTCTTACCATTGAATCACTGACTTAGAAAAACAAGACTTTGTAATCAGTGCTATATCATGTCACACAGCTAGGATTTAAAATATGACTTTCATTCACACTTGATAAGTTTGTTTTCTCAGTTTAGAATTTATAATCGGTGAGGACTGATTGAAATTTAATTTCATACTTATTTACTTGAAATTAGTGAATCTCCATTTCTATAGTTCAGACAAGCATCTACTTCTAACAGATAATTTTATTTTTAAATGAATGAATGGAAACTATTCTAACTTCTTAAAGATTATGATATTGTGGATCATTTGAAACAATTCTAAAAAATTAAAAGCATAGTCTTATCTCAAAATATGAGACTTTGAAAATGAGAAAAATTAGTTTAAAAATGAATAGAAATTGATATTTTTTTCTTACTAGAGTCAGGCAAGTCTATTCTATCTATCTATCAGCTATCTATCTATCTATCATCTATCATCTATCTATCTATCTTCTATCTATCATCTATCTATCATCTATCTATCTATCATCTATCTATCAATCTATCTATCATCTATCTAGTCTATTTAATCTATCGTCTATCTATCTGTGTATATGCATTTCTGCTTTTTTCAATCCTTAAAAAATTTGTTCAAAAATTGTGGTAATGGGTTAGAGAGATGGCTCGGTGGTTAAAAGCATGTACTTAGTTCTTGCAACGAGGAACTGCATTTGGTTCCCAGTGCCCACATGGGGTGGCTCACAAACACCTATAATTCCAGCTTCAAGGGGTTCTGCTGCCTCTCACCTCCATTGGCACCTATACTCGTGCACAAACATACAATTAAAAAGAAAATGAATATTTAAAAACAATAAATAAAAATTGTGGTGAAATATGGAATGTGAAATTTGACATTTTAATCTCTTCCTTTATAAAACCCAAATAATATTCAAGAAGTGGATTAGGAAGCTACTATGGAACAATAGGTGGTCCCATCCCCTTCTTCAGTGCACAGCTTAAGCCCAGGGACAAATATGAGCCCCCCAGAAAGAATTTATATACCAACCCAGGAAAAAAAGGAACTGGATATGGGTAAGATATTCTTCATACTTTTATAGAATTTGTTTTTAATTAAAAATTGAAATTTCTGAACCCTGAATTCACTATTACTTATTTTCTTCTTTAGCTATGCAAATGTTACCATAGGCCAACAGTTTTCACACTCTGCTGATTTTTATGATGCCCCAAAACTAAATTATAAGGTAAAATGATCTCTTTTGAACTTTTCAACATTTGTTTTATTTGTTTGATTCTGAGAATTTATTCACAATCTGATTTTGTTTTGTTGTATCTCTTTTGATCACTGGAATGTGTGCCTGTTGATTAGCAGTATTTTAGGTCAGTAAATCCCATGTTCTGCTAACATGTGACCACACTGTAGCAAATCCATAACCCTTAAAGCATTGCTTTGTAATAATGCCCATTCAAATCACATAGGGTGATGGTTAAGATTTCTGATGAAGAGGCCACATAACAGATTAATGTAATCAGAAGTCTTGGGGGAAAGATCTTGGTAATTTTTAATGTAAATAGATTATCAAGTGATCCTATGGAAATTAAATTTTAAGAGACACTGTCTAAAGGTTGCATAGGGTAGTTAAATGGTCAATACTACTGTTAATATGTGGAAGAGGAAGGCAAATTGCTAAGAACTGGTGAAAGTTCTCCAGAGAAAGAGGACACACCAAGCAGGAGGGGAAACTCTAAGAGAAGCAGGAAACTCTGAGGGAGCTCCCGCCACTCCTGCCAGGGCAGCTGTCTCCTCTTGAGTATTTAGATCATATTTACATGTTTTCCATTCAGTTTGATGAATGATGGTAATATAAAATTTCATATTTTCAAAAGATGCAAGAAACATCAGAATTCATTTCATAGTTACCTTTCTAAATTTGCATTCCACAGCATGTTTGTTTGGTATTTTATCAGGAGCTAGCAATTTCTATACTTGGTATTCTCACATAGAAAGGATTGCAATATAAGAAGGAAAATAGCCTTTGTTTTGCTTGACTATTAGGTAGCTAAAATATAACAATATAAAATATTATAATATGGGGCTGGAGAGATGGCTCAGCAGTTAAGAGCATTGACTGCTCTTGCCAGAGGACCCGGATTTGGTTCCCAGCACCCACGCGGCTAATAAAAGTTCCAGAGGATCTGATACTCTCTTGTGATCTCTGTGGGCATTGCAGGACAAGGGTGCACTTAATACATGCAGGAAATATACTCATACACATAAAATAAAAATAATCAATAAACATAAAAATTATAAGCACTAAGCAATTTTCGTTTTGGGTACTAAATATTGATATTTACTAAAGACCTACCATGTGTCAAGTGTTATATAATCTTATTTAATCTTTAACACATCCAAGGGAAGAAAGTATTTTCAGTTACGTTTGAAGATATGGCATTAAAAGGGTCAGCAGCTTCCCCCAATCCTCTGAAAAATGCTAAAGAGCAGGAAGGAGCTGAGTCTGACCTAGAGATCTGTCGTTTTCCTTCAGCATATTGATGTGATGGGAATTTGTTCAGGGGATGAATTTCTCTATTTCAAGTAAATTTATATCCAAAATGAGTAATCGGAGTTGTACTTGTTTGTAAGTACACATATCATTTTATCATAAAAATATAACTTAAATGCTTTAAAAAGCATACCCAACAGTGTATACTTTAGAATATATACATGTATAATTAAAATTTGGGTTTTTTTGTTGTTTGTTTCTTTTTGAGACAGAGTCTTTCTGTAGCCCCAGCTGACCTGAAACTTTCCCTGTAGACCAGGCTGGTCTCAATCTCACAGAGACCCACCTGCTTCTGCCTTCCGAGTACTGGGATTAAAGGTGTATGCCACCATGCCCAGCTTGAATTTTAAAGGTGATTTTACTTTTAAATTGTTTCTGATTTGTGTAACATGCTGCACAGTTTCAAGCTCTTCCATTTACAGAAAGACACTGAGGATCACCACCGGTTACTCAAAGGGTCACCATTCAAGTTGAATCTTCATCCGAGGGACTATTTTGACACTAATCCTTATTTCCTGGAAAAACCTTTACCTCCAATTAGAAGAGAAAAGAAGAAAGAAGTACGTTTAAAGCCTTTTAAGCCCTCTTCTCCTGGTAAAAAGGTAAGCTAAGAATTTTGAAATGAGAAATTAGTAGGGCATGGTGGCCTGTGCCTATAATCCCTAGCCTGGCACTTGGCAGCTGAGGCAGGAGGATCCTAAGTGCAAGGCTAGCCTGGGCTACCTAGCAAGAGCAGAGGGAGAGAAGAAAATGGGGGGAGAGAGATGAAGAAAGAAAAATGAAAATTTGTCTTTTGCTGTCAAGTTATTTCATTACCTATGTAAATAATAAACCTTTGTGTGGACGCTTACAAAATTGTATAAAGCCACCACTGTCTTAGTCTGTTTCTTCATTGCTGTAACAGAACACTCTGACCACTACAAACTTGGGGAGGAAAGGGTTTATTTATCTTACATCTCCCAGGTCACAGTTCATCAGGGAGCCCAAGGTAGGAACTTAGGGCAGGAACCTAGAAGCAGGAGCTGGAGCACAGGCCATGGAGGAATGCTGCTTACTGGCTTGCTCCCCTGGCCCCTGCTCAGCCTTTCTTATGCTACATAGGCCCACCTGCCCAAGGGTGACACCACCCACAGTGTGCTGGGCCCTCCCACATCACTCATCAAGAAGATGCTCCTCAGACATGGCCACAGGCCAGTCCAATAGAGGCAATTCCCCAATTGAGGCTCCCTCAACACATGTATGTCAAGTTGACACTAAAGCTATCCAGCACAATTGACCCCTTGTCAACTTGACACACAAGCAGCACTATTAAACCATAACTTTCCAATATCTGTCCCCAAGATATGATGTTAATATCACAACATAAGACAGTACAACCTTAAAAACCCCACAGTCCTTAAGAAAATCCAAACACTTAAAAGTTAATAGTCTCTTTTAAATGTCTCTTAACTGTGGGCTTCTCTAAAATCCAAAACAAGTACTGTCTTATTTCAAAGGGAAGAATAGGGCACACCTAAGCAAAACCAAAGTCCAGCAAAGTAGCTTGAGGCTGGACGTCTCGGATTCACTCATGATCTTCTGGCCTCAAAAGGGTTCTGGCAGCTCTACTTCTCTGACTCTGCCATCCACAGCACACACAGCTAGTCTCGCAGGCCCAGGCCAGCTCCATCCCATACTATTGCAGTCCTTGGTGGTTTTCCCATGGTCCTGGCATCTCCAAAAAGCTGGGGTCTCCACTGAAACTGAGGCTACACCTTCACCAATGGCCTCTTCTTGCCTCTTGGTGTGCAAAGCCTCAGATTCTCTCCATGACCCCTTAAATCCTGGGGTCTTTGCTGCAACTGAAGCTGCACTTTTACCTATGGCCTTTCCTGGCCTTTCAGAGTGCCAAGCCTCAGCTGCTTTCTGTGAATCCTCGTTCTTTCAACACCAGAACCATGCAGGAGACTCTTACACATTACCAATTCCAATTTCCGTCTTGAGATGGAGGCTTGGGCCCCTTCTGGACCATAGCTTTTGTGACAAGCCTGATGAAATACCTCCCAGAAGATGTTGCCACAGAATGGAGGTGCGGGTCCCCTCTGTGTGCTGGCCCTGAGGAAATACCTCCTAGAAGACTTCACCTCAGTGATGCTGGTCTCTTGTTACTTACAGCTGATTTTTCAGCCCCAGCTAACCAGCATCAATTGTCCCAGTAAAGCAAAGGTTTTACTTCAGGTTCTGGTCTCTTCTTAACCACAGCTGATTCTTCAGCCCCAGATGACCAGAACCCACAGATTCTCACTTCAAAATCTTGCACAAACAGCCCTGATAGTCTCTACTTCCCTTTGAAGCTTCACAAGCCAGGCCTCCATTGTCCGCAACTCTTTCAGCCTAACTGTTCCAAGCTCCACAGCAACAAACTCTGAGCACACAATGGCTTTTCCAGCTCAAAGTTCCAAACACTTCCACAGTCCTCCCCAAAACACCAAGGTCAGATCTGGCACAGCAATACCCCACTTCTGGTACCAATTTCTGTCCTGGTTTGTTTCTTCATTGCTGTGACAAAACACTCTGATCAATACCAACTTGGGGAGGAAAGGGTTTATTTATCTTACATCTCCTGGGTACAGTTCATCAGGGAGCCCAATGTAGGAACTCATCGCAGGAACCTGGAGGCAGGAGCTGGAGTACAGGCCATGGAGGAATGTTCCTTAGTGGCTTGCTCCCCTGGCCCCTGCTCAGCCTGCTTTCTTATGCAACATAGGCCCACCTGCCCAGGGGTGGCACCACTCATGGTGGGCTGGGCTCTTCCACATCACTCATGAAGAAGATGCCCCTCAGGCATGGCCACAGGCCAGTCCAATAGAGCAATAGAGGAAATTCCCCAATTGAGGCTCCCTCAATGCAGGTGTGTCAAGTTGACACTAAAGCTATCCAGCACAGCCACAAAACAAGGCTAGAGAGTGGGTAAAGTTTCTGCTGCTCAAACATGAAGAGCTGAATATGGATTCCCTAGCATCCAGGTAAAGGTGAACCTGGCAGGATGTGCCTATAACCTCAGTGCTGTATGTACGGTAGGGGAGGAGACAGGATGATGAGGGGCTTGCTGGCCAGCCAAGCTAGTCTAAATGGTGAGATCCAGGTTTAGTGAGGCACAGTTTCAAAAATAAGGTGGAATGTGGTAGAGGAAGACATTCAACATCAGTCTCTGACCTCCACATGCATACCACTGGCAAGCACATCTGCACTCATACATATACCACGCACACACACAAAAAACATGACTGGTGTGAGATAAGGATAATGTCATAATGAAGCAATTATTGACTGCTTCAAAGATGTTTGAATTTTCAATGAACTCTTGAAAGCCGTCTTAAATTTTTTAACTAGTGATTAAAGTTAAGCCTCTTGCTGCTTCAGAAGTTTATAACAAGTTAGAATAAAATGAAAAATTCTCTGACAGCTTATAAACCTTTGTTTGTCCTTGGTCTTTCTGTTCCTGGGAATTCCTGATCATTTTCCCTGTGACTCTGTTACAAACTTATTCTTTTTATCTTGACTTGTAAGATCTTTTCCTATAGTAAGAACACAGATATATTTTTTGTTATTGATATTGAAAATAAATTTTTAGTTTGCTGCATCCCTGGCTTTGATTTGTGCTGATCAGAATCTTAAAAATTTGATGATGTCAAATTGTCAGGCTTTTGTGGAAGTTTATGGTATTTTTAGAATGGCTTTTTAAAACCATCATCATAACCCTCTTGATTTCTTACACTAAGAAATATCTTTGCATTTAATTCTTTCTCTAAATGTGTTATGATATTGAGAATTAGATAGAGATCCAGCTTCTATCTTTTCTAGTTCCAGCTTGGAAGCAGGAAGGAACTTTGATGGTTGGGGAGAGATGGAAATGTTCTGTTTTGTGGTAGGGCTGTGTATGTTAATAGGGGTAGTTTATTGTCTATTAGATTTTAATGCAACTGATTAAAAATTGTCTCCTTAGTGGACTAATTCTTTAAAAGTTTTTATTTTTTATGTGTATGAGTGTATTGCCTGTATTCCTATAAGGGCATCTGTGCATGCAGTGCCCACAGAGGCCAGAAGAAGGCATTGGATCTCCTGGAAATTGGAGTTAACAGTTGGTTTTCAATGGTATGTGGGTGCTGGGAATCGAACCCTAGTCCTCTGCAAGAGCAGCCAGTGCTCTTACCTGCTGAGTAGTCTCTCCAGCCCCAACAAATTTTTAATGCCTCTGCTTTAAAGTGCCATTGATCAAATGAGAACAATGAGAATCAAAATTCTCATTTTTAAGAATATATTTTTGCAGTTGCTTTCTAGTTTGGTGGATTTGTTTATTTCTGCCACACCACTTGTAATTGTTATTATAGTTAATGTTGGGTGGTCTAATATTCTTTAAAACAGGCTATTCATAGTCATTCTGTAGAACTTCAGAATTATTTTAAGTTAAAAAAATCAGAAACCTCCGATAGGGGAGTGGGGAGATAGCTCAGTGAGTAAGAGTACTGGCTCTGAAAACATGTGGGCTGAGTTGATTCAAATCCCTAGTGCTCACTTAAAAAACCAGACATGACTGTGTGTGCCTGTAATCTTAGCATTAGGGAGTAGAGATGGGTGAATCCTGAGAGCATGGCCACCAGGAAGGGAGAAAGAGTGAGGTTTTGGTTCAGTGAGCATGTCTGTCTCAGGTAATAAGGGAGGTGATAGAGGAAGAAACCTGCAGTCATGCTCTAGCCTCTGCATGGTCTTGTACATACGCACACACCTGCACACATAAGTGCATAAACCACACATACACATACAAAACACATACACATGAACAAAACCCCTCTGATACATTGCTACAAAATGAAATGCAGTTTTTATTGAATTAGCATAATTGTAATTGGAATTGTCTGATCTAGAAATAAAACATTTGCAAAAGGCAAGGTTCCTGTCAGTAGTTCCTTCTTTATATTAGTTGTCTCTGTAAAAACATTTGATTTTTTATGATAAATATCATGTCACTAAATGCTCCTATGTTCTAATAGATGTTTTGTTAATTCTTAGGTTTTCAGGCAGCTGCTATTTGCAAGCAACTTTATACTACTTTCTTTCCAGTATGTCTACATCTTACAACATGGTCATGTTCAGTTTCTTAGGTCAGGAATAGTAACCATCCTTGCCTAAATCTTCACTTTAATAGGGATATCGCCAGCCTTTCATTTCTATAAGTACCCAAAGTAGGAATAATCAGGAACACATACCTCATTTATTAGATGCTTATTGAGTATCATCAAATGCATGCTGCATTTGATCAAATGGCATAATTTATTAGATCATCTTTTTATGTTTTTCCTTGTTTTATTGTGTTTTGTCTACTGGCCTGGAATTTACTGTGTAGACAGGCTGGACTCAGCCTCATAAAGATCTGCCTGCCTCTGCCTCCCAGGTGCTGGGGCTAAAGGTGTGTGCTGTTTTTACTTTTATAAGGTGACTAACAATAATATAGTTCTTAGACTGACTCATTAATGCTGTGTTAATTTTTAAATATACTGCTACATTTTGCTTCTTAGTATTAAGAATTTTTGCACCAGTTTTCTTTTGTGGGGATCTAAAGGTC